TTAGGTCGGTATTGCTTCATAGCGTTTTTACAGCATTACAGATAGGCCGTATTGTCTTATGTTTACATTAGGTGTGTCTGGTTACCCTAAAGTTTGTAACAATTGTTACAAATTGTTACTGGAAGTCGTCTGTTAACCCAAAAGTTCTGCAAAAGAGAGCGGTTGGAGAGAGAAATTTTGACAGTTCTTTCAGTGAGAGTTTGCAAATTCTTGCTGGAAAAATTTCTTCTTGCAATCTCTTGCAACTCTTCTTCTTCTCATACATCGACATTCAATCAGATGTTTTCTATTGTTTGTTTATTTATTTTTGTGCTTTCAATTTGAAAATATTTTTTTTTGGAATTAGCAAGACTAATTGTTTTTGGTTTTTGTTTCTGGTTGTGTTTTCTTTCTTTTAATTCTTTATAATGGCGGACAAATTGGTTTGTTTTGACAAATCAGCTGATTAGTTGCAAGCTTCTGCAGGGATGCCGTCTGTTTACTTTTCGCATTTTTCTTGCAAAAGAGAATAAAACTACCTTACTCTCTCAGAAAGAAGTTACTGGACAATTCCTGCAGGGAAAGTAACCAGACACACCTATTGTTGCTCAGAGGGGGCCGTTATGTCTTGTGTTTACATTGTTGCTCAGAGAGGCCGTTAGTCGCGTATTTACATTGTTGTTTCATTAACATTCACATGGTATGCAAAAGGTCGTTTTTGCATCTTCAAAAAGAAAAATATGGCGTTTCTTTCCATTATTTAAATTCTAATGAAAAGAATTTGGAACTTTTTTTTAATATATTAAAAATTAGAATAAAATTATATATATATAATAAAAAAACGTTAAAAATATTTTTAAAAACATATTTTTTTAATTTTGGAAGATATCTTTATTAAAAATTTTTAAAAATAACTTCGTAAAAAAAATTCAAGAATATTTTACATACAGCAAAATATCGCTAATCCGGACAATTGATTTTTTAAATTGGTTTAGATTTTTATTAATTTAGCGATTATTTCAATAGTTTTACGTTTTTATTAAAAATATAATTTATTGTTTTTGCAAAATAGTCAGGCTGAATCCCAGTTTGTTGTTTTATAAAAAACAACTATTTATTAGTGGGGAATGTATGGCATTGTTTGCCGAGGGGTAAGGCAGGGAAGACTATAGTTTCGGATCACGCCACTGATCCTCATCAGTTCCCTTAGTTTTTTGTTGGGATATTCTCCCCAGAAGCTATTGCCTTACCCCTCGGCAAACAATGCCATACATTCCCCACTAATAAATAGTTGTTTTTTATAAAACAACAAACTGGGATTCAGCCTGACTATTTTGCAAAAACAAAATACAAATGGGATCCCAAATAAACCGCCAACACTACTGAATATAATTTATTCATTGTAAAGATATGAAATATAATGGGTACCATTTTCACTAAAATTTACAATGATTTTAATAATAAATAAATTGGTTTAGATTTTTATTAATTTAGCGATTATTTCAATAGTTTTACGTTTTTATTAAAAATATAATTTATTGTTTTTGCAAAATAGTCAGGCTGAATCCCAGTTTGTTGTTTTATAAAAAACAACTATTTATTAGTGGGGAATGTATGGCATTGTTTGCCGAGGGGTAAGGCAGGGAAGACTATAGTTTCGGATCACGCCACTGATCCTTATCAGTTCCCTTAGTTTTTTGTTGGGATATTCTCCCCAGAAGCTATTGCTTCTATACAAAAAACCTTTCATACCCAAATGTCTCTTGTAACAAAGCGAAGTACTTAGCTGACCAACGACGTAAACTGTATGAGAATTTCGCTGGAGCCTCACTTCGAGGTTAACAAGGCATTTACAAACAATTCCATACCTTTCCCACTGTTGTGTGTTGTCACATCGCGACAAATGCACACAACGACTTTGTTGGTGTTGCTAGTATACAGCAACAAACCAAACAGTTCAACCGTGCCTGCGTCTACAACTTCAGTAGTGTTGGCGGTTTATTTGGGATCCCATTTGTATTTTGTTTTTGCAAAATAGTCAGGCTGAATCCCAGTTTGTTGTTTTATAAAAAACAACTATTTATTAGTGGGGAATGTATGGCATTGTTTGCCGAGGGGTAAGGCAGGGAAGACTATAGTTTCGGATCACGCCACTGATCCTCATCAGTTCCCTTAGTTTTTTGTTGGGATATTCTCCCCAGAAGCTATTGCCTTACCCCTCGGCAAACAATGCCATACATTCCCCACTAATAAATAGTTGTTTTTTATAAAACAACAAACTGGGATTCAGCCTGACTATTTTGCAAAAACAAAATACAAATGGGATCCCAAATAAACCGCCAACACTACTGAATATAATTTATTCATTGTAAAGATATGAAATATAATGGGTACCATTTTCACTAAAATTTACAATGATTTTAATAATAAAAAAATATATATATTTATATATATACATATATATATATAAACAAATAATGTATCTTCACAATCCGGATTTTAGAATCAAACAATACGTATTTTAGAATCAAACAATCCGTATGCCATGAGTTGTAATATTTAAATATTTTTTTAGGAATACAAATATAAAATATGTATTAAAAATGTTTTTTTTTTATCAAAAAATAGGTTTAAAAAATTATTAAGCATATTTTTAGATTTAACATTTTTCAGGTAAAAAAAATCAAAATATATTTTTCAAAAAAAATATACTTTTTTATATCCTATTTTCCTAAAAAATAATAAAAATGTCATTAATAAAAAAATATATTATGAAGATATTTTGCAATTTATTTTTATAAAAATATATTTTTATTAAAAATAAAATAAAAATATATTTTATAAAAATAAGAATATGTAAATATATATTTTTTGTAGAAAATATTGAAAATTAATTTTTTATTATTTAATATTATTACTTTTTATGAAAATATTATAAATATTTTATAATAATAATAATAATATTTATAATAATTAAAATTTATTTTTTAAAATATATATTTATAATTTCAATATTGAAAAATTTTGTATGCGGTGTCTTTCTTAAAAAATGTTTATTATAAAAAATCCACGCCTTGGCCTTATTATAAAAAATCCATGCCTTGGCCTTTTTGTTTCTTAAAAATATTTATTATAAAAACTCCACGCCTTGGCCTTGTTGTTTCTTAAAAATATTTATTATAAAAAATCCTCGCCTTGGCCTTGTTGTTTCTTAAAAATATTTATTATAAAAAATCCACGCCATGACCTTGTTGTTTCTTAAAAATATTTTATTTATTATAAAAAATCCACGCCTTGACCTTGTTGTTTCTTAAAAATATTTTATTTATTATAAAAAATCCACGCCTTGACCTTGTTGTTTCTTAAAAATATTTATTATAAAAAATCCACGTCTTGGCCTTGTTGTTTCTTAAAAATATTTATTGTAAAAAATCCACGCCTTGGCCTTGTTGTTTCTTAAAAATATTTATTATAAAAAATCCACGCCTTGGCCTTTTTGTTTCTTAAAAATATTTATTATAAAAAATCCACGCCTTGTCCCTGTTGTTTCTTAAAAATATTTATTATAAAAAATCCACGCCTTGGCCTTGTTGTTTCTTAAAAATATTTATTATAAAAAATCAACGCCTTGGCCTTGTTGTTTCTTAAAAATATTTATTATAAAAACTCCACGCCTTGGCCTTGTTGTTTCTTAAAAATATTTATTATAAAAAATCCTCGCCTTGGCCTTGTTGTTTCTTAAAAATATTTATTATAAAAAATCCACGCCATGACCTTGTTGTTTCTTAAAAATATTTTATTTATTATAAAAAATCCACGCCTTGACCTTGTTGTTTCTTAAAAATATTTTATTTATTATAAAAAATCCACGCCTTGACCTTGTTGTTTCTTAAAAATATTTATTATAAAAAATCCACGTCTTGGCCTTGTTGTTTCTTAAAAATATTTATTGTAAAAAATCCACGCCTTGGCCTTGTTGTTTCTTAAAAATATTTATTGCAAAAAATCCACGCCTTGGCCTTTTTGTTTCTTAAAAATATTTATTATAAAAAATCCACGCCTCGGCCTTGTGGTTTATAAAAATATTAATTAAAAAATGAATATAATATAAAAATGTGTAACATTTTTATTATTATTTTAAGTTAAAGTAGTTTATTTTAACCCCTACATTAATTAATTTAATTTTTTTTAATTAAATTCATTATTATCTCTTATTTCATTATTCATGTGTACTCATTTTCCTGTGCCCAGCGTGAACCATTTCAATTGAGTTTCTTCGGTTCATTTCTGTGAACCATTCCGTTTTGAACTCACCAATCAGTAGTTAACTGTCAAACGCTCTCATTTGTTTAATAGCCATCGGCAAGGAAAAACCCCTGCATTAATAAAACAAACAAAGTGCAATAGATCTTTTTTAGTGGAAATAAACACAATTAATGTTATAAAGTAATTAGTAAAACAAAGACTATAACAACAATAAAATAAAACAACAACAAATTCCTGCAATTGAAGTTTCTGGAAAGACCATAACAAAAGAAACTGCATTGATTGAGGGAGAGAGTAGTGCGTTGTATTGACAAAGAGAGCGACGATAGTGTGAGTAAGAGGTGTGGGTGTTTCCCATAAGTTGCAGTGAGTGACAGCAGCAGCAACAACACCACAGACAATAGGAAAATAATTAAGAAATTTTCCAGGTATTAATGCAGCAATAATCCCAAATAAAACGCTAATTTGTTTACCAAAAACAACAACAACGAACAAGCACAAGCAGGCCAACATTCCCTCAGGTAGGTGCTTTTGAATATTCTCTTGCTATAAATAAATGAAAATTTTCTTATGATTTTCCACAGTCAGTGACAAGCAGAGCAGGACAAGACAGCAAGCCAACTTTCTTTGTCTGAACAACACCACCAGCATTTTATTTGGAAATAAATTGAATTTTAATTGAAAAAAAGAACGATATCAAAGATGACAATTGAAGTGGCCGCCACCAGTGGTAGTGTTGCAGTTCCAACGAAAAAAGACATATTATCCCGCACGCTTAAACAATCCGGCCATGTCGGTTTCGATAGCCTTCCCGATCAATTGGTTAATAAATCGGTACAAAATGGTTTTGTATTCAATGTGATGTGTATCGGTGAAACGGGTTTGGGCAAATCCACCCTAATGGATTCCCTCTTCAATACAAGTTTTGAATCAACGCCCAGTCCCCATACGCTACCCAATGTCAAGCTAAAAGCCAATACCTATGAATTGCAGGAAAGCAATGTCCAGCTGAAATTAACCATCTGTGATACTGTGGGTTTTGGTGATCAAATCAACAAAGAGAATTCCTTTAAGGCTGTCGTCGATTATATCGATACCCAATTTGAGGCCTATCTGCAGGAGGAGTTGAAAATAAAACGTTCCTTGGTCGATTATCATGATAGTCGGATACATGCCTGCCTGTATTTTATTTGCCCCACCGGGCATGGTCTGAAATCTTTGGATTTGGTGTGTATGAAACAATTGGATAGCAAGGTGAACATTATACCCATTATTGCCAAGGCTGATACCATTTCCAAAACGGAGTTGCAGAGATTTAAGGCCAAAATACTGGAGGAGCTGAAAAACAATGATGTAAATATTTATCAATTCCCGGTGGATGATGAAACCGTGGCGGAGACAAATGCCCTTATGAATGACCACACACCCTTTGCTGTGGTCGGTAGTAGGGAATTTGTAAAAATTGGCAATAAATTGGTAAGGGCCCGGCAATATCCATGGGGCACGGTACAGGTCGAAAATGAGCTGCATTGTGATTTTGTTAAGCTACGTGAAATGTTGATACGCACCAATATGGAAGATTTACGAGAGCAGACCCATCAAACCCATTATGCTTTGTATAGGCAGAAACGTCTCAGTGAAATGGGTTTCTGTGATGTGGACAATGACAATAAACCCGTATCGTTTCAACAAATTTTCGAAATTAAACGTGCCCATCATCTCAGCGAACTGCAGGCTAAAGAGGATGAAGTTCGCCAAATGTTTGTACAACGTGTCAAAGAAAAGGAAGCGGAGCTGAAGGAAAGTGAACGTGAGCTGCATTCACGTTTTGAAAAACTCAAAAAGGAACATGCCGAAGAGAAGAGGAAATTGGAGGAGGCCCGCCAGAAGCTCGAAGAGGAATATATTGAATTTACAACACATAAAACAAATTATGTGGCTTCTCATCACACCATGACACTGGGCAAGAAGGGGAAGAAATAAAGTGGACCTCCTTTAGGAGACTATCTGAAAGACCAGTAACCAGACAAAGTATTGCCATCAACAATATATTTTTTATCTCATAACAACATTACACAAGACTTCTTCATTCATATGTAAATTTTTTGGAGTGCTTTGTTTTTTACTTTTTGCAATTATTTTTATAAATATTTTTTTTGTTTATTATTTAGTTATTATTTTTTAATGCTATTTTATGCTTAATTAAGTATAACTCAAAGGCCAGTTTTTTAAATTTTGTTTAATAAACAATAAAATATAAAAAAACATAATCAAGTTTTAAAAAAATCCCAAAAAAATGTGGGAAATTCTAAAACTATTTTTAGCATTCAAAACGTGAATTATTGACTCAATATCACCAAACACACTCTATGTCAAGATAAGAAAAAATTTGATCTTCTAAAAGTAAACAGTCTTGGGAAAAATACTGATAAGCACTACTCGTCATTGTCACTATTGGATATTTCAAAATTCGAAAGTTAAATACTGTAATACATAAAAGATTACAAAAGTAAACACAAGCACGCTTCAGGGAATCAAAAAAAAAACTGATAACGTCAAGTAGTTACGATGAACTAGGTTCATGCGGAAAAAAATTTGTTGCAGCGATTTGGAAATTTTTTTACCATAAGAGGAATTTTTAATTAGTTATTTTGGATACTCATTGGATAGCTAATCTTCCTATAAAAATAGCAATATCAGTTCTAGTTTCGGTATAGCCTCCACATAATTTTATGGATTTTGGACACATTTTTTCAACCAAAATATCCGAAATTTTGTATATTGGGTTCTCATTGGAATGCAAACCTTCCTACCAAAAATTATCAATATCGGTTCAAAATTCGGTATAGCCTCCACGTGAGAGTTCCTTCAATATTTCGAATTTTAAGAATTTCAGACACCTTTTTTTAATCAATTGGACTGAAATTTAGAATTTTAAGTTATCATTGCGTGGCAAATCATCCTACCAAAAATTATGAATATTAGTCCACTATTTTGGGTAGCCCCCATATAAGGTAAGCTCTAATTTTTAGGATTTTGAACACATTTTTTCAACCAAAATGGTATTTCGGATTCTCATTGGCTAGCAACTCTTCCTACCAAAAATGATAAATTTCAGGGTAGCCCCCATATAACTGCACTACCGATTTTGGATATTTTGGGTTAGATTTTCAACCAAAATGGATGTATTATGGGTTCTCAATAAGTAACAAAACTTCCCACAGGAAATGATAAATATTGATCCACTTTTTAGGTTAGCCCCCATATAAGGGTACCCCGTAAATTTTGAAAGTTTGAGAATTTTGCGCACATTTTTGAAGTAAATTGGCTCTAATTTTGTATTTTGAGTTATCTTTGGTTAGCAAATCTTTCTACCAAAAATAAGCAATAACGATCCACGTTCAGGTAGAGCCCCAGTCTAACGTCACTTCCGATATTCGATATTTTGCGTTCATTTTCTAACAGAATTGGCTGTAATTTTGTATTTTGGATGTTCATAAGGTGTCTAATCTTCCTACCAAAAATGATCAATAACGGTCCACTTTTTAGGGTAGCCCTCATATAACGGCAATATCGATTTTCGTGATTTTGTGTTCGTTTTTCAACCGAATTAGCAGAAATTTAGTATTGTGAGTTCTCATAGGTTAGAACATCTCCCCACCAAAAATTTGCAATATTGAACCTTGTTTTGGGGTAGCCGCCATATAACGGCAATTCCGATTTTTGGTATTTTGGCTTCGCTTTTCAATCAAAATGGCTGTAACTTAGTATTTTGAGTTCTCATCGGTTAAAAAATCTCCCCACCAAAAATTAGCAATATCGATCCACTTTTAGGGTAGTCCCCATATAACTGTGCCTCCCAAATTTCAGAATTTTGTGGAGTTTGAGCACGGTTTTCAACGAAAATGGCTGTAATTTCACATTTCGGAGTCTCATTAGGTAGAATGATTATTGACCAAAAATGATCAATAACGGTCCACTTTTTAGGGTAGCCCTCATATAACGGCAATATCGATTTTCGTGATTTTGTGTTCGTTTTTCAACCGAATTAGCAGAAATTTAGTATTGTGAGTTCTCATAGGTTAGAACATCTCCCCACCAAAAATTTGCAATATTGAACCTTGTTTTGGGGTAGCCGCCATATAACGGCAATTCCGATTTTTGGTATTTTGGCTTCGCTTTTCAATCAAAATGGCTGTAACATAGTATTTTGAGTTCTCATCGGTTAAAAAATCTCCCCACCAAAAATTAGCAATATCGATCCACTTTTAGGGTAGTCCCCATATAACTGTGCCTTCCAAATTTCAGAATTTTGTGGAGTTTGAGCACGGTTTTCAACGAAAATGGCTGTAATTTCACATTTCGGAGTCTCATTAGGTAGAAATTCATCCCACCAAAAATTAGCAAAATCGATCCACCTTTTGGGGAAGCCCCCATATAACGGCACTTCCGATTTTCGGTATTTGGGGCTCGTTTTTAAACCAAATTGGCTGTGTTTTAGTATTTTGGGTTCTCATTGGTTAGCAAATCTTCCTACCAAAAATTATCAAGATTGGCTCAAGTTTCATGGTAGCCCTCATATAAGGGCACTTCCGATTTTCGATATTTTCAGTTAATTTTTCAACCTAATTTCCTGTAATTTAATATTTTGATTTCTCATAGGTTAGTCCTGATTTATATTAGGCGAGTTTACTTGCGGCAATTTTTATCGTTCTCTTCTGAACTTGCTCCATGCGTCTATGTCCTGATTTATATTAGGCGAGTTTACTTGCGGCAATTTTTATCGTTCTCTGTAGCATACAACCAACATTTAAGAGGCGAATTCTGATATTAAGCTAGCCCACGTACTTTGTTCCGGCCTACTAGCTCGTCGGAGGGGTAGGTTCGATCATATTCTAGCTATTTGTTATCGCTACGATTAAATTATTTTAAAGATACGTGCAATTAAAAGAGGAAGACCGAGAGAAAGTGTATAATCAATCGAATTGGCAAGCTATGTGATGGACGCTGAGGTGATAACAGTCCATTATGCCCTCCCAACCTCGTCATAGGTGTATTAACCTGGATAAGAAATTGATCCTATGACCCCTAGTGCAATCGTGACTGGTCTACCTAGGCTATCTAGAAATCAAACAGGAGTTGTATGAAATTAATCCCAAAACATTTTTAAATTTATTTGAAAAAGTGCAAAATTCATGTTATTTCAGTATGAATGACTGTACTACGGTAATCATATATTAACATAGAAATGTTTTCAATCTTATCCTATATTATACTATTTTAAGGTGTTGAGGCATTGGGCTAACAATAAAAAATAATTCTCAACAAAATAATCCAAAAAAAAAAAATAATTATTAAAAATATATTACAATACTGGTTTTTCTTGGTACCCACGCTAATATTTTTAAACGCTTAACAATGAGATATTATTGTCACCGAAGCAAAAAGACAATATGAAGATACAATAAAAGAGAGTACTTACAATTTGCATGTCAACTCAGAGTAGCGTCACCGTTGAAAGATCTTTCGTAGTGGTTGCTGCTGTTGATATTAAGAGAGAATTGTAACTGATATTGCTCTTTGTTTCGGTTTCTTTGTTACACACTTCATCTGAAAGGCGACAATTATTACTGAATGTAGGTATGTAAAGACCTCTGCCAACAGTCAGCTTCAAACATAACATATTGATACGCACAAACATCAGTATTGTAGATATGTATGTCATCCCAATATGACTTATATGTAGGTGTGTGCGTTGTATTACTTATGTTCGGAGCTAATTGTTGAAGTCAGTGATTCGAGAACAATGTGATATCAAGAAAATAATTTAACACTGAAACTTAAAACTATGGTTGATAATTTGCATATTAATTTTACTAATATTAGTATGAGGCAATGAAGAATAATATTACGGTGTAGCAACTCCTCATAATAGTTGCGATTAAATAAAATGTTCAAGCAAATTTGTTAGAAACTAAAGTTATATAATTTTAAATAGAAAAACTAATTCGTACCCATAATAACAAATTGTAACAATTAATAATACCTTGAGTAGCACCGATTCGAAATATTAAAATTTAGATTTATACTTATGAATAAGGCTGGCTGACTGTGGACGTCCGAACAAATCGTTCTGAGTTGGTGCATCGAGTTTGGAATATTCGTAGTAACTCCTTAATGTATTTCAGGATGTTAGTAAGGTTTTGGATTATCTCACTCTTTGATACTACTAGACATCACTAACTTCGCAAATCATCGGTTTTTGATACCATTGGGAATATCCAGTTTTCGCTGATATTATATTAAAATTTGGAAGCCACTCCGGGAAATCGAACAGTATTAAAATGTTGGACTTATATAGCTGTATTACTTGAATCAACGGCGCACATTTCTAATAATTCAATTGTCTTCAAAAAATCACTTTTTCCTCCTTTAATGCTCTGCGATTACACGTGATTTTATCACATAACTATAGTTCAACAGAAGTGTACGAGTGACTGACTACTCTCATTAACGTTGTATATGCTGCTGGGTTTTACGCTGCACAAAGCAAGTGAAAAAAACCCGTATTTTTATGGCTGGCAAACGCAATGACAACAACAATGATTATAGGCTGGGTGCCAATCCTAATGAGAGTAGAAGAATTAACAATATATTTTTGCATTCCCTTTGTGCACTATCTAACTGAGAAACTTACCGCATAGCGAGATGGCACCATGAACCATAATTATTTTCTTGCTAAGATGGCTGTGAATAATTATGATTGAATTGTAACAACCAATAACGATCATTAATTATATTAATTACCAATCAGCTCTAATTTAGGGGAATTTTTAGCAAGAAATCCGTTCAGATTAATGAAAATTTTACTTGGTAAAAAAAACTGGTAGAAATTGACTTTTTAACAAATTTCCCAAAAACAAGTCTTTACAGCGATGAATTGATCGGCAAAATGGCAGAGTACCATCCGTTTTGGGGCCACG